TTGGATGTGATGGTGGTGCTCACAGTGGGGCAGAGTTAGAGAAGCAGTGCCTGTGCAGTGAAATGGATATTTTACTGGCCAGGTATATCTTAAAACAATCAGAGGCTTGATGAATTGGCTGAATGGCTGATGTATGGCTGGAATGGAAGGGGTATTTGGAGAAGGTTTGAGTCAGGGAAATGCACCTCATCAATCAGCATGATTAAAGGTTTTGGCTGGGCCGAAACAAACTTAACACTGTAAGGGCCTGGCCTTAAAGGCACAGTCCGCTGCTTGGAGTCGCAACAAACAAGCTCTGTGTATGTATTGGTTTCATGTATTGGCAGTTGCAAACAACCACTATGTTGCGTTGTGGAGCAGTAGACCTATTTTTATTTGGATTTACTAGATATTAAACTGCCAACAACCGTAGACTATAAATAATAAGTACATTTCTATGGATCGAAAGAAAGACAGTGAAATGTTTATGGCATAGAACACGCGTCCGAACAAGTTCTCCCATTCGCCCCCAGGTGCTTTCAGATATAAAATGGATATTTGTTAAAGTCACTACAGGAAGGAAGTGATGTGGCAAGATGGACAGATGTGTGACTGGGATAAAGCGCAAATCAGATGGCAAGTCTGTTACAGCTGTAGGCTGTAGCTGTAGACCACCACAACAACGGCACAAAAAAAGGTAAAAGCAAGAAAATATAACGAGGCGTATCTGTCCCTTAACAAGCAGTAAGGTCGGCCAAGAAGAGAGACCCAGTGTGTTGTGTGTCTTACCATACTGGCGGCAGACTGTATGAAGCCCACTACATTGAAAAGACACTTGGAAACCCACCACCCCGATCATGTGAACAAGCACCTTGAGTTTTTCAAAAAGACATTGGAATAGAGTGACTTTGTAAAAGCTGCATCTGTCGCTGTGAAAGCACAACTCGCTTCCTACAAAGTAGCCTACAGAGCAAAAAGGCTCACACAATAGCGGAGGAGTTAATAATAATCATCATTATTATTATTTTCTTGCACACTAATTCAGTTTGAAAAACCTACTGTTACATGGGGAAATGTAAGGTGTTGCACTGTTCCTAACTTCAATGTTAACATTTGAAGTTAATTTTACTTGAAAATATATTTAAGAATGTAATGCAATTAATATGTCTGAAAGCAATCTAAAGTCCAATCTTTTTGGAAATTGATTTTATTATTGCTATTTTTTTTTTCAGTAAAACAAACTGAACAATAAACTGTGACGTGTAAAAGTGAAGTGATGTGTACATATTTTAGAAAGAAAAACAAATATGTTATCGAGTTTATATATTATTATGCAATTAATTCAAAACAAAGAAGGTACGACTCATTTGGGTGCGGTGGGGGGGGGGCTTACAATGTTCCTATATCATCAAAGGAGGGCTCGACAGAAAAAGTTTGGGAACCATTGCACTAAGCCAAGAAGCCAAAATTCACCGGTGCTACAGTAGAGAGTTCTGTCAGCAGAGCAGCATCTCCAAGCACACAGGTGCTGCAATGGCTGGTTGGGTAAAGCTCAACCAACGTTAACCAACGTCAATGGAGGCTGACTGGCCGGCTTGTGGACATAATTATGAGTCTGGAAGACGGTTTCAGTCTTTTAGTCGAGGATCTTAACATGTCTTTTTGAGATGTTCAATACCTCGTGGTTCCTTGTGAATCAGACTCACCTTCATTCTTTCATTCATTACCATGCATGGTCAGTGCTGGTCTGCCCCTGGAGGCTTTTAGGAAACATACCATCTGTCCGGGGTGGGGCGATCGCAGAGGTTTACCACGGCCAAACCACGGTTCCAAAGTAATCCTGTGTGTTTGTTTGTTGAGTGTGAAAGTAGTTGGCAAACTCTGTGTCATGCAAACACTCCATGAACTGAACAGTGAAGCAAATTAATGAATTAAATCATCATTACACCATCAGGTATTTATAATGTCATTTGATGGTCTATTTAATGTGCCAAATGGAGAAAAACTTACATGATACATCTTTCCTAGAGTCTGTATAGGCTTAATCTGCTGGAAAAAAACATCTCTCATTGGGATTAAACAACGCATGAACGACTTCTAGTTGCAAAAAGAGGTAGACTTGCACAGAAGTCTGAGAAAATGACACCATTTCTAATTTATTACCTGAGTAAACATTTTCCTAATTGTTTATAGTCATGATGAGTTTATGAGTTTATGGTCTCAATAACTAGATTGAAGTCTGATCCAATACTGCATGATTTTAAATTGAGTAAATTATGGTCCCATTTAGAGTAAAATAAATGCTGCCATGCTGTCTTTACCACGCTGTTATTCAGTGTTACAAACATGTTTGTTTTTCCATTTTGTGTGGTATTGGGACTAAAGATTTGTAGAACTTAAACATTCACCATTATGAGTTCATAATACATGTGGCACAATCAATTCAGGTTTTTTTTCATGTGAATTGACAAAAAGTAATGATTAACCCTGCCAACCCCCTTTACTCAATACTCTACTCCATACTACTTGCTGGCTTGTTATGATGGGTATTTCTGGCAGCTACTTAGTGAACTCAAATATTTACTAAAAGTGGATGACTGACTGCAGAGTCCAGCGGTTATGAGTCTTACACCTCCTGTAGCACTGAGTACTGAGTATACACTCACTCCATGTCACTCAGACACACACGCAAACACACCATCACATGTTTGTTGAGGTAAAGCCGTATGCTTTTGTCCATTGCCAGGGGGGTAAACACAAACACATGGACTCTAATCTGAGAGCAAACAGCGGGGCCTCATGTTAACCAGCAGGGATACACTTTCCCTCAAAACCATGAGGCCTGCAGCAGGTAAGAGCTCGCACATCAGTAACAGAGAGATGTGCCTACGTCGCAGCCCAGCCACCGCCACTCGCGCCGCCTCACCTCCCTGCCTGCATTCTCCCCCTGCTCTACATGTCACCAGCCCGTTCCTCAGCCAGCCTGTCCTCCAGCTATCATCTGCCTCCCTTTCCCCCGCCAACCATTACCTATTAAAACCCATTCCTTCACCTACTCTGCCGTCTCTGTGTCAGCTCTTGGGTCCAGTACAACCAGCCCTCACACTCTACTTGTTTCTCTCTTTTCTAGTCTTCCGATTAGTACTCAGGTTAGCACTCATGCCTCACAATGATTTGAACACATGCAAGTTTTAGACTGTGGACTTAAGAAACGCTCATAGTTGTGACGGTGTGCCACGACCTGGCTCTGACCACCATGACCTATTCAGGGAGACGCAGACAGTTTCCCAAAAGAAAAGAGTTTTATTCGACATAACAAAGTCGTCCAATGACAAATGGTGTTTGGGACGAGCCGTCCTCGCTCCTCCACGGGGTGATAGGAGAGAGCCCCATGTTGCCAGGAAGGCGGAGCTTTATACTGGAGCCCTGGCCCAGGTGTCTCCAGTCTGCAATCTCCCGGATCCTGCCATTTAAAGGGACACACACACACAACCCAGAACCATGGCAGGGAACCATCACACGGTGTGTCTCAGTATTTTCACAGTATGTTCTGTATCACCGTCTATACAGTAGTTGATGCATGTGCTTGGCCTGTACACTGGGAGAGACTGGGGGGAGGGACACACAAAGACAATGCATCTGTGTGTCATGTTCTGTGCCTGCTGTCAACATCTCAAAGAATCGCCTGGAAGCCTGGATGCTCATTCTTCATACCCACATACCCCCCAGACAAATGGTATTCTACATGAATGAAAGGTGGATATTGCCCTTTATCTTTATTCTGGTATAGTTTAATAAGATAGAAAGAAAAAGCCCAGAAACCAAAAAAACGTGGAAATGGAATCAGTTCCTTCCATCCAAACAAATGACAGCACAGTCTCATTTCTGACGGAGGCAGCAAACCGTTGTTTCCGTCATGTGTCGCCTGCCTTCTGGGTAACGCTGTGACATCCTCACACCGGAGGAAAGGAATTAGGAATTAGACTGATGAAAAGAGATAAGATAGATGAGGAGGAAAATGAAAAAAAAGAAGGGACTGAAGATCAGAGGAGACATTGCCATGGTAGATTAAAGTACACGACAGAGGACAGGGAGAATAGATGCATAAGAGATAACTGGGCCACATCCCAGAGTCCAAGTGTCAGCTCTGCAGTAGATGTATTCCCGTAGCACATGTATCAGTACACATGATAATCCAGCAAACATTCTGATGTTGAATAGCCTCGATATGGATATGTCTGTGGCTACTAAATTGCTGTGTATATTATGAAAATAAAAGTCGAGATATTACATCACAACATCATAATTTTAATATGTCTATCATCATCAACACCTGAAGAAAACTTGTATGGGGTTCCTTTTAAAGATGAAATGGGTTTGGAAGGAGCATTATGCCCACAATATAGATATAAAAAAATCTATTTGTGAAGTCGTACACTGCAATGATAAATAATCTGCTTGACTGATGATGAGGGAATGCTGAGTAGAAAAAAAAAGATGACACATTATTTTTAAGAGTGTGCTTTGCCTTTGACTTTCCCAATATTACCTCACACTGTAGCACAAGAGGAGGACAAGTCACAGCCCTCAATCTCAATGATTCAAATCCAGCCTTTGGGTACAAGTGTCTGAACTGTAATCAACTAAGTCGAGTTTATTACCAACAAGAGAAAACACCAATTAGACCAAGCAAGGAACTCAAACTCCAGTCAAATAATCAGAATAACACTAAACTAAGCTCTCTGGAATATCACCAGCAGCAGCACATGGAATCACCAACGATGAAGGCAAGTTACAAGGGGAGGAGGAAGAAAGAAAGAAAGAATCCTAACTTAGCCCTTATGCTAAGCTTAAGTCACACGTGAATACCAGCAGCAACACATGAAATCACCAGAAGAGGTCAATGCAAAGAAAGAAAGAAAGCATAAGCTAATGCAATCACCAATAAGGGAAGGACAAAGAGAGAAAGCAGGGCTCCAACATGAGATGTTGTGTATCACACAGTAGAGCAGGGTCCTTACCTAGGATGCCCAGCCGGTAGTTGACAGTTATGACGATCACATTTCCATAGCTGGCCAGGATGCTGCCGTCAAACATATTCCCAGTTCCTTCCATGTAGGAGCCCCCGTGGATGAAAACCATCACCGGCTTGGGGCTTCCACTCTCCCTAATGTCTGGGGGAGGGGGGAGGAAGAGGAGGAGGTGGAGAAGGCAGAAGGACTGATTAGATGACAGATTGAAGGTGACAGCCAGAGATGAAATTCCAATACTTAAGGGGGCTTTAGCCACCTCTTTATTTCTTTTTCTTTTTTTTCTGAGTAATCTTGGCACACTGGCTTTAACATGGAGACCTTGTTAGTTTGAGGCGTCAAACCACTCCTTTTTCTACATGAAGGCTGTGACATGGTCGTGGTGATTGAAAAATGTTATATATTTATTAGCCTATTTTAAATCCATATTTAATGAAACAGGATATTTAAAGAGCCGGCTTTTAATTTTCCTCCAGGCAATAGACTGTCAACATGCAAGAGTGGCAATTTAAACTGTCAAACCATGTTGCGGTAAAACTTGTGCGATTAATCTGGAGGAGAATCTAATAAAAAATATTTTTTAAATGGCATAATAGGTTGGACCATTTTTATGAAAAAGCATTGCTTTATTGAAACTTTAATTTGAATTCAGGTTAGCACTTCATAGTTGTTTAGCTGCAGGGAATGTGTGCCTCGACTTTGTGAATATAAATGCATGTGAGCTCTTACTGGCAGCAAGGGGAATTAAACACAACTAACAACTGAATGGGACACTTGTCTTTTTGAATATTATGAAGTGTTTCGTTAATGTGAAGGACAGGATGTTGTTTCGGCTTTGGAATTACTGCTTTAACATTTCCATAAATCACAGTGTAATTAGACAGTAGCTAAATAAAATATGCAGTGGATGATGAGTACTAAAATGACTTATACCGCAAAGAAAGCTGGAGGTGTGGTTCTATTACCACGGGGATGTTTGTGAATGTGTAGCTGCATCTGTGAAATATGAGGTCAAGGTAAGGAGAACCTGCTGTTAGCGGCAGAATTAGCCGTAGTAAAATGAGTTACATCTGGCTGATTAGAGAGTAAGAAAGGAGGGCTGCGTTGTAAAGCTTCAGTCCTTGATGTGGTTCTAATACGGGCCGGATTGTGAGCAAAAAGGATGCAGAGACTTAGAGAGATCTAACAGCACGCTGCAACCCACGTTCAAAACAAGCTTTCGCATTCATCTGCTGCATCTCAGAGACGAAGCTTTTCATCTCGCTTCCTAACTATCTCCATCAGTACACGTGGCGGCACACATCGTTTATCCCACTGATGTTTTACCACTGAGGGACCAGGGAGAGGTCCAGGGAGAGATCAGGGAGTCTATGCGGGATTAAAAATTAACCAAACAAGAAAATAGAAAAGCGTTGCCCTCTGAGACAAGAGAGCAAAAAAGACATGCAGTTGTTAGGGGAGTAAGAGAGTGTCCCCACAGTGAGTGTTTCAAGTACTCACAGACCAGTGGCTAGACAAAATAATGTAAACACCTCAGACTTCAACTCTGAAGGAACTGCTATAACACTGCTATAAGTGGTTCAATGTTGCTTTTGAATAGAGTAAAAGGGCTCTACTGTAAATTATGTACTTCACAATGATTATTTTGATGAAACTGTCTTATCTAATTGAAGAAATGTATTTAAATAATAATGAAAGTAAAGAAATGATAGGTTTACCCTCCACTCCCCTTCCTTGTGTATGATTAAAGGGGAAAGTTTGTCTTTCTATTGGACAACTGCAAACAAAAAAAAAATCTCACTAAGAGTGTGTGCAATATACACAGCCTTAGAAAAAAGCTCATTTGGCAGAAGGAAATGAGGTAAAATAAAACAAAAATCTAGCGGGAAATGAAAATAAGGCACATCTAGGTAAAATGCCTTCTTTTCGTCATGTGTGCATGTTTGTCCTTCCCTCCGTCTCGCTCTCGCTGCAGAGCTCATTACATCACTTCTATCATCCTCTGTGCTTTGTAGTGTTTTAGTTTTTTTCCCTCCTATATTTGCTCTGCTCCCTCTGTCGCAGCAGGAAGCGGCCACAATGTAGTGGCACATCATAATTCTCCTCTGGAAGGCTTCCAGAAAGTCCTGACTAAAAGGTCAGGAGATTATGGTAGAGTTGTGTGTGTGTGTGTGTGTGTGTGTGTGTGTGTGTGTGTGTGTGTAGCTCACAGTGCAGATGTGTGTGGAGCAGGGAGGATGGAAAGCTTAAATCATCAGTGTGTCAATGAAGAGAATATTGATATCAATGATGGTGTAAGAGGATGATGACGATGATAATAGCAACCATGACAATGATGTTGGTGAAGAGATGATGATGGTGGGGAAGATGATTTTGATGTCCCGGCCATGACAATAATGGTGTGATGGTGGTGGTGGCAACCATGATGATTGAACACCTTCTCACTCCCAACTGACCAAATACAGATGCTCGGTCAGTGGCCCTACGCCTCAAACTATGAGGCTCGAGTTTCCCTTCTGGCGTCAGTTAAACGTGTCAGTTGCTGCTCTTTACGTGCATGCAGTCTCTCTGCGAATTAAACTTACAACATAGGTTCATTTTGCTTTGAGGTTTACTTCCTCAACAAAACGACATGTTTAGGTTTAGAGGAGATCCTGGTTTGGGTTGAAATAAGTTTGTTTGTTACGTAAAATAACTACGTTTGTTACATAAAGTTAGTAAAGTCCGGATGTTACAGAACCAACAAATTACTGTAGAATAAGTCAATGTTGACTTGGTTTCACATGGTAGAAAAACAGAGGTCTCCTGGCTTAAAGTCTTAGTTTAACCCCTAACCCTCCCACTCGCCCTATGCGGACTATCTCCTTCTTTGCGCTACATCAGTTGTTCCGACAGTCTAATAATGACACAGACAGGTTCTTTTAGTTAGTTGAAAGCCTGGTACGTCTCAGACTCTGAGACTCTGGGGGCCACTGACCAAGCTTCGGTATTTGACGGGAGTGAGAACGGGTTGGATGATGATGTTGATGATGGCAGCAACCACGATTATGGTGCTGCTGCTGCTGATATTTAAAATGCTTTTAATTATGTCACAAGTCATGATGATGTCAGCAATGAGGAGTGCCAAACTAGCATTAAACTGAGGATGATGTTAATGCAAATGATGGTGACAGCAGCAACAGTAAACATGATGATAATGAAGATGATGATGATGATGAGAAGGAACAGAGTGCTGCTGAGTTCTAACCAAGTCATTCTATATAAATGGTGTGTTTTTCTTTAAAGCACATAGGGAGGATTTCCCATATCTGACTACTCTGTAGGAGCTGTATGATGTGTCACTGTTTCCTCTATGGGTATTACATGAATACATTAATTTCTGCTGCAGCGGGCTACATCCAGCAGGGCTGCCTCTTTTGGTCCAGGGCTGAAGGTCAGCGGTAATGAGGTGAGGTTAGGATAAAATAGTCTTGGCAGTGTTTGAGCATTTGATGGATTTACCTGAATTGACTGGCTGAAACGGGTCCCGCTGTTTATGAAAAACACTGTACCTTGAGGTTTTAAGTTGATACAATCAAGCTTACTCTCAGCATGGTTTCCTGGCATCTTTCATCGGCTGCCACAGCAAGACTCAGAGCCAACACAATGAAAAAATCTAAACCAGACTCTCCCATTCTCCTAACTTATCAATCAATCCTCATTCAGCCTACTGCAGCTCCATCATCCTCTTTCATGAAGTGAGGTAAAACATCCAATACTGTCATGATTATTTTTAATATAGTTATGTCCTTTTGTGTTTCTGTTTGAAGTGACTTTAAATGAATCCAGTTTTTATTACATTAGTTTGTAAACAGGCTGGAACATCCAACTGTTCTCCAGGGTTTTCATCCGCAGCGAGCAGCGAGATGAAAGCTTGCTTTGAGTAGAGCTAAAATGAGATGCACTCTTGTAATGATTCGACCATTCAATCTTTCCCGGGATGAGTGTGGATGAAGTAGAGATTGTCAAAGGAAAGGTACCATGACAACATGGAGTAGATCGTTGCTTCCTCGAGGATGAGGTTATGATCAAAGAGATCTAGGTGTTCAGATTTCTCTGAGTAAACCCTGAGAGATGCCCTTGGGCTGTTGTAACAACTCTGTTATCCTCTCCCTGTGCCGGTGTAAAGGACTTATCAAACCAACAGCAGACACAAGGAGCAGAGGTGTTTTTTATCTTCTTGCTGCAGGGAACAAAGCTATAGGGACTTGGGCTAAAAGCAACAGGAAACTAAATGAGGCCCAGTTATGAACGCCAATTCAAACGCTTCTACATGAAATGCTCCTGTGTAATCAGTGCAACAGTGCTGATGTAACTCATCAGAGTGGGTCTACATATCCACTGGTATGTGTAAGATGGCACCTGTACAGATCTGCATGCTGATTTGATGGCATTATTAGTAAGTGAGTCAAGATTGTTCATTCATTTCCAATCCTTAAAACAAACATGTTTATATTATCCTAACAAGTGACCTCTTCAAAATGGAGACTGAATTACTGTTGTTTCCAGGGCAGAGTTCATGTTGATGGAGGTAATTAGCAATTAGATGTTTGCAAATTTAGCAATTTGCAAATATCACAATCCAACTCAGATGTACAGTACAACAGTACAGTACAGGGAAGTTCAGATTTTTGTCATCTATATGTGTATATATATATTAGTGCTGGGCAACGATTACAATTTTTAATCGCGATTAATCACATTGTTATGCACAAAGTTCAATAATGAATTCAAAAGTAGAGTATTGCGCACTTTTATTTTAAAAGTACTGTTATATGAACAAAAGTGCAATAACATTTGGTTTGTAAACACTTTAAACAAATAAGGTGCTTTTTAACAGCAGTATTCCCTTTACACAGTAGCAGTTATAATACAGTTATAATGATTCTGATAATAGATATTCAGCCGGTGTTCACAACTTTATCTTCATGTGTGTAAGGAGGTGAGCGTGGACGGATGTCAGCTGTCAAATAAAACATTTTCAACTGCCTAAACATGAGCGGATATTAACCATGGAGGCAGCAGATGACAAAATCCTTTAGTCATTTCTGTAACAGTCATGGGTCGTTTAGAGGTTTTGTTGTTTAAGTTCAGTAACGCAAAGAGCAGTTTACTGTATATGCAGTTAATTCAACTTAAAGGGTAACTTCGGCATTTTTCAACGTGGACCCTATTTTCCCATGTTTTTGAGTCTAAGTGACGAATGGACAAATTTATAGTTTATTGTGTTGGAGTACAGAGAGTGTAGCTTAGTGTTGGTAAAAAAAATTTTCATGTCACGGCTGAATATTTAGTTGATTTTGATAAGGTGACACAAGATTTCATAAAAATACAGACTGGATCAAGTGAAAGATAACAAAAACATATTCCTCTGTAGGGTTCATTCCAAGATGTTAGACACACTGACCTGTCAGTGGTAAAACAGCACTTTTCGTGGACGCACATTGATGGTGAGGAGTTCTTGATATGATTACATTACAGCCTGTTTAGTGTATGCAGGATTCTCCCACAACACTGGACCGATTTTAAACTTAAAACTTAAACACAAAAACAAAAACAAAGCATTTGGCTGCTTTGCGGTAACCTCATTGTTCTCTGTGGGCTAAATCCTTCCATGTTATTGCTGATTTGAATCTGAATTTGCATTTCAGTGGTAAAGGAGGTGTCTGTGATGTCAAACTTCAATAGTTGGAGCTGCACCTGGACGGCCACCAACTGGAGCCTCTGTGTGGGCTGGATGCACCAAGGTAAAACATTCTCCTTCATCATCTCTTTTCCTCCGACCCAGGATTGTCCTCATGCTCACTAAATCCATATTCCTGTGCCCTCCACACTCAGAGTAATAAATCCATAGTGTTGGTAAGATTGATATCTCACATGTATTGCCATATAATCTTTTACATAAGCTACCAGGGGCCCTATATGAGCATTGTAGATACCACAGTTCACGACATCTACATTTCTGCATACCCACTCTTAACCACTCCTGAAATATTTGCTATAAAAAAAAGGAGCTTCGAACAAATCCTCAGCTCTCGGGGACTTTCCTGTTTACCTCTCTATTCCCAGCACATAAGGATTACAAACACCAGCTTTATTGAGTGTAAGGAGATTGGAAAGGTTGGGGGATGTCCTCGTTGAGTTTGCATCTCCAAGGCGAGACCCAAGAGGTCAAGGGTTAAGAGTATCAAGGATCACTGGGGGGGATCCAAGCTGATCAGTCGGCCCTGATAGGGCAATAGAGTGTGTGACCGTGTTTGTGTGTACTTGTGTGTCCTTGAGCATATTTTCCTCTATATTAAACTGGATTAGTTGTCTGCCTGCATCATTTTTTGAGATAATACTTGAAGCTTGCTGGGATTGCATTGAATAGATCTGTGTGACTCTCTAATCGTATTGGTGTGTGTGTGTGTGTGTGTGTGTGTGTGTGTGTGTGTGTGTGTTTGTGTGAGTGTGAGCACCCAGAAAAACAGTGTAATGGCACAGATCAAAGGGATCTGGATGGTTGTGAGTCTTATTTGGATGTAATTGCTGTTTACTTCGTCACATTATACAGTAGAGGTGCCTTATTAAGACTTCCTGCCTGCCATTAAAGTCGCTCTCCAGCAGCCTTAAGGGGATACAGCTCTATCTCACGGTTTTATCAAGGACATTTTATTCCTAATGTGACTTTTCAAAGGACTCCTTGTTCATGGCAGCTAAGCAAAGGTTCATCTTTTTGTATTGCTGAGATTAATGCATTTCCAGCACACTGGCTTAGCTTTCAAACAGCATTTAATTTAAATACCATGGGGAGCAATGCAAAGTTGTGGACTATCCACTGGATCCCTTTAGTATTCATTTTCATCAGTATATGCCCACTACTTACCAAGGATTCAATACCTTCAAAGCAACAACAGTATGTAGGAAATGCTAATGTGTTCTTTTATTACATTTTACCTTTGATTCAGGGTTTACAGTCATGTGTGCAGAAACAGTGTCATGTGTTTTAGTTCCAAACATTGAGTGAAGGCCACAGATATATGAGGTAACAAACTAATGTGATCTCATGGGAAGGTGTATGAAGAGCATGCCGTTCTCATTCCCAACTGGTCACACACAGATGCACGGTCGCAGTATTAACACGTACTGAAGTTTGTGAACACAAGCAAAACTATTTGCTGCTTATGTTTAGGCAACATAGCTACTTGGCTAGGTTCAGGAAAACATCATGTTTTGAGCAAATGAGGACATTTGTGTAGTCAATGAAGTTATATATGGAAGTAATCAACGTAAACCGTCACATATTACGGACGCACTGTTGCAGTTTTAAACATGTGGCCATCTTATCAAAGGCTCATTTCCAGTACATATTTTGGGGATAATACATTTCTGCTTTTACTTCTTAGTACAATTATGAATGAAGGACTTTTACTTTTAAATTTAAATTTTTTTGTATATCAATTTTTTATGTAAGTATACCATAAGAATCAGCGAAAGCAAAGAACCATGTTTTTGTTTATTAACACCAAGTATTGAAATGTGTGGTAACTGTGGATGATACGTAGGTTGTGAGCAGCATCGTGGTGCTAGTGGAGATGTATTTCTGAGTAACGTTGGAATAATTGTTTAATTGAAGCAATGGTGTCAGATCATATCCATTTCTACTTCTTGCTCCTCTTTGGACATGTAATATATATTTACATTGATAGTTAATATTGTTTATTAGAATTTGTATATCAAGAGTTTGCTTCATGTTTACTCTTCATTTAACTTGTTATTGTTTGTTTTTATTTGTAACATGTTTGAAATAAATGATTAAAAACAAAATGAAATGCAATTAGAACAGAAAGTGTATGACTAAGCTTCTATGTCATCTATGCTACATGCTACTAGCATGATCTCACTTGGTGACATTAGCTCCATCCTGTCTTAGGTGTGTTATACACACAAACTCTGCTTCTGTGGAGATTTAACTCAACAAATGAGATTATTTCTGCCTCTGTAACAGCTCTGTCTACTCTGAGAGCCTTGTGAAATTGTAATAATTGTAATAATCTTCTGTGTAAGCACGCCCCTCAGAATTTGAAGCCCACAGAAGCCACACGAGCAGACCATCGCAATTACCATGCAATAGAAAGTGAGTTTGTATATGCTGTTTTGATTTGTGTGTTCATCAGAAAGCATTAGAATGGAGAGCCCAGATGATCACTTGAAACCATAATGACAGTAATGTCACTTGAAATCAGTCTACACCCAAATGCTGGCTATTTTAATTATTGCCAAGTCTGTCATATCTGCTAGCCAATCCACATTTAGTGTAGCAACAAAACAAGTCATTTGGCAGCTTTGGACTTCTAACAGCCACTGCGGGTGTTTGACCAGACAGTTAGCTGCACATACTGCTGTGTAAATTAGCTCTGACTTTGCGCTGTAGGAGGAAACCATGCCAGGAGTGATGAAACATCCCACTGCTGAGAGACACTGATTTTACTGATTGAACCAGTATCTTGTTTTAGACTCCTCACATACTAAGGTTGTTGGTTTGACGCCCAAATAGTGAACAGGTCCAAGTGTTTTAAGCCAGTTAGCCAGAAGTTGAACTTTTGCGCATGATCAGACTTTAATACCACACGAATTAAAAGTAAAAACATGCAAAAATGTGTTAAGAGCTGGCTGAAGGGTTAATAGTTACTCGATCTGTTGGTGGGATGCAACATAGAAAAAGAAAGTAAAGGAAACAGCAAATCCAAGCAGAGAATCTATGATAAAATATTAATATTAAAGAATGGTGGTAAACATGTAAACTTTAGACATCAAGCTGAAAAGGACAAAACACATCCAGGCCAAAAAGAGTTTACGAGTAAAGAGCAAAAAGAAAATGTCCATCACTTTCAAAAAAAGGACAAGAAATGTAAGAAAATCAAAGAAGATAAAAATCGGAGGAGGAAGGGTAAGTTGGTTTCCCTTGTCATGCAAATCAGTTTGGCATCGGGGGGGAAAAAATACCTTCGTCTTCCGTGCGGTCACTATCACCTAAATCATCAGTGTGTTTCTTTGTAAGGGGACCTACAGGACCAAGAAGGAGAAGATGGAGGAAAACATGGTGATCAAGAACACACACAGCTTTCAAAAGATGCTCTCAAAAGATAAGAAAGTATGTCAATAATTCATGTTTCTATAGCCTCTTTTTCTGAAAAATTCTCACACTGACATGGAGACTGGGTAAACATTACCACAAAGTCCACTTCACATGTTTACAGTAAGACTTTACTGTGTAAGTGTTCACCTAAGAAAGTAAAGAAGCAAGAAAAGAGGGACTTTTGTAAAAAAAAAGAAAAAAAGAGGTGAAAAAAGATTATTTCTCTGTTGAAAATGAAGACTTAACTGAGGATAAACCTCTTAGGATCAAAAGACATACATCTCTTTAAAACAGTGCATACAGTAGCATCAGGTGTACATCTCAGAGACATTGTGTTAACATTTGGAAATGATCGCTGTAGCAGAGAAAAAGCAGAGGCTGTAAAAAAAAGCAACATTTTTAAGAGCAGACACATGTGAGAAACTCCCCCTTTGTATTTTCAGAGTGTGTGCGGACATCAACACACACACACACACACACACACACACACACACACACACACACACACACACACACACATCAGTTCACATCCAATGTCATGCATAGATTTCACTGCAGGGGCGCTGCTGGAAAGCCTGTATCAGAATATTGTAATGACAGATCGAGGTAAAGATGAGAAAAGTAGATACTGGAGAACAGGTAAATTGATTTTAAATTTGAAGTGGAGAATCACATAGACTGGGTAAACACACAGTAAAATCTTTGTCCAAATTAAAAGTTCAATTTTGATAATATTCTATGTATTCTATTGATAAAAATCAAATTTAAATTACTACACTGACTATCATCGGTCAATAGGTTGTGGGTAGTTTTATTTACTTTAAAGAATAGTTTGGGAAATACTTGTACCTGCTTTCTTGCACAGTGAATATAAGGCTACAGCTGGTTAGCTTAGCTTATCATATAGACTTGAAATGGGGAAATAGCTAGCCAATGGCAGGACTCGAGGAAGCCACTGCGTCCATCATATAACATGTTCATTAGTAAGCTTTGGAGGTTGTGCTGAGTGGACTTTGTTACCTTTGGACAAAACCAAGTTAGCTGTTTTCCACTGTCCCCAGCCTTTATGCTAAGCTAAGCTAACCGGCTGCTGGATGTAGCCATATATTTTACATACAGACACATGAGTGGCATCAGTCAACATGTTCTCACTCCCAACTCGTCATATCTGGTACTATGACGCTCCCCATCAGTTTTGCATCCGTCAATTTCAGCTCATTTTGAAATATACTTCCGTGTTCTTGGGAAACAACCTGGTTTGGTAGAGGTAACAAAACTACTTGGTGAGGTTCAGGAAACTTGTGTTCTGTAGTGAAGTTGGTTAATTTACGAATGCAACATAAATTAAGTATGTTATTACGCAATGTAAGTTAAGTGTTTTACGTAACATTACACAACATAACTTAACTTTCGTACATTAATTAAACCATTAATGACTACATTACTTTAAAAAAGTCAACGTTCTCCTGGTGAAAGTCCTGTGTTTTATGGTCTTTATTATACATCACCTGACTTCCTCCTTTACTCACGCCATCACTACGGCTTTGTAGTTAAATTGCACAGTTTGATGCCTAAGGCCACTGACCAAGCTGCTGTATTTCATGACTTGTGAGAGAGAAAGGGCTGAATCTATTTTCTCATCTGATTCTCTGCAAGAGAGCAAATAAGCGTATTTCCCAAAATGTCAAACTACTGCGTCACACGCTGTGGTTTTCTTGGCGAGGAAAAAAGAATCTGAATTTGAGAGCATGCAAGTACCTGGTGGAATAGTCTAACAAGAGGAATGGTCAGCTGCTTCTTCATTAAAACCAACACATTGTCATTCATAATACAGGTTTCTTGTACATACAGAGGCATAAACACATGCTATCTTAAACAAAAGTAATCAAGACAAACAATATAAACACACACCCACAAAAAACACCCCCACACACAGAGGTACACACATATACTACATAACAGATGTGATAGCATGCAGTCTGGAAGTAAAGGGAGCTAGCAGGGTGCATGACACACACACACACACACACACACACACACACACACAAATATGACAACATCCTGGCAGTGCTTAAGCCTTCTCTCTGACACACACACACACACACCATCCACAACATATGATTCCACTTCAAATAGCCATCTACTGATGAGAAAATGACCACAAATAGCCAGCAATTTATGCCAATATTCTTCAAATATCATTTGACTTTATAAAATATAAAAAGCAGTCAATTCCAACATGAAAAATGTTTCAAGGCCCGTTTTCTGCAGAAGGTTAATGCAGAAAAATGTCTCTGTGTGAAGGAAGAATAATTCAATAAAGACTTCAATAACTGTGCTGGTTTGAACATATCTGTGTATGGAATAGAGAATAGAAGATGAATCACTAGAAAGGTTCAAGATGCTTTTAGTCAGAAGCTCATATTGATGACTCATAATTCCTCCATCATTCAACATAGTGGTGGTTTATTTTAAGGGCAAACCATTTCTCTCCCATGACTTTAAAGAGGAAGCCGGCTCCCCGCATATCATTCTGTCCTACAGCAGTCTCTCAGCTCTCTTTTGTGAATTTCACAAGCAATTTGATAAGCGAGAGCTGACTTGTGCTTTCTATGTGCTGAATAAGCACCAAGACACAGGAATCACTTCATTCAAAATGTGAAACGTCTAAGAAACACTGAGCGTCCACCGTCTGGAGATGTGTTACCTGTTTATAAAGTATAGTGCATAGAGAGATCACTGTCAAAGCAATACATGGGGGATGTGGGAGATTCACCTCAGCCTTTTAGAATACCCTGTGTAGAGTGACAGAAGGTTCTGTGCTAATGCCTAAACATACACCACACATTATATCATGTCGTTTTTGTTTTTATCATGTTCCATCAGCATCTTAAAGTCCCCGTCGTCAACCTTCCTTTTCCAAGCATGTATGTTGGACAGCTAAGTTCACAAATTCCCCCCTAATGTAGAATTTTGGGGAAAAGATGTTTAATATAATGCAGTATTACATTAAATAAGATATTTCTTGTCATAACATATGTATTGTGTTTAAACAAGAAAAGTTTCTCACTATAACCACATACCAACTGAAATTATTGTCATTATGATGAGCGTTAATATGATGTGAACATGTCCATGTGATTATGTGTCATAGTTAGTAGTAATAATAGAGATCAAAAAACATAAAGTGTCATAATACAATGATGGTCCAATATGAGCTCCTCGGTATAGACGTCTCTGGGACTCAAACTACTCAACTGATTTCTGTAACAATGGCATTGCTTGATGCTAGATAACTTCTGTGTTGCTCTTTGACCTTGTTTCTGAGAAAAGGATCTTATTCTTTTGTTTTTATTAAAGACAACTTTTTAATAGACTGGTAATGTACATATATTATCATCAATCTTATCTAATATCTCAGTGTCTAAACATTTTACGTTTTTGCTTTAACTTATCATTATGAAGTCAATGTTGATTGCACAATGTAATGGCACCATCGGCTTTTAGATTGGTTCTCTATGAGCCTCGCTTTCACTATGCAATTCTGTCTGCCACCGGGTACGAACTCCCACCAAAATGAAGGCTTCCTTTCGGCACAAATGAAGTGAATCAACCGTCATGCAACCAAAGCAGAAAGGCCTTAAGTTAGTGGCTCTAGCAACTCAACTTCAGCCAGCGGAACCCCAGCGCTGCCGTCCGGCCTCCTTCTGACTTGAGTTCATAAAATTCTGAAGCAGCGGTTACTGATGCAAAATATAATGTAAACACTGGGCTCTTTTACTCATCATGTTTTACGCCTTTATCAGAGAACTGACATTGGGATTTATGGATGATATTGGGATTCTTGCTTGCAGTTGTTTCTTGCTCTGGACAGTAGCCAGGCTGCACGTGGTAGCCATGTTGCTAACCCTACCGCTAGCTAATGCTAGAAGCCGGAAAACTACCAGGAACTACAAGGAAGCCAGGACCATAACTACTGTAGTGATTCTACTGTAGTGATTCTTTGCCTGACAAAAAAAAAAAAAAAAATGGGATTTTATTTTGAACGGCATTTTTTATGCAGCGGAATTATTCCAGCATTTACGGCACTTGTTCAGCGATGCAGGAATCACACTGACCAATGCGTTGTGAATCACATCATGTGATGCAGCTCAGCCAATCAAATATGGGCATTCTGACAAGTTTCCTGACTTGAGTGAGATGTACACACACCGTGACCCACGGGGAGAGACGAGGATATAGACAGCAGAGCAGGACTGTTGAGGTGTGAGTTGTGAAAGTCAAATTATAGGATGATCTCCAAAAGAGAGAAATGGCCAGAGAGACCAGAGTCATTAGACTCTGACTGAACAGACTCATATAGGTGAATTCTTCCAACACTAATTTCTCTTTTTAGAAGATGAGAAAAATATAATATTGTGGCTTTATCACTTCACCATGAATGAACTGAATTTAAAGCTGCAGGGCAATTCAGTGAAAATAATTTTGCTAAAATGAATTTCGTTACGTAATTTATTTTTAAATCCAGGCTTTATTTTACTTGAAATGAGAAGAACATTTATTTATATATTTCTATGTATTATTTATAATCCATCCAGTTAAATTTGAAAACTGAGAATAATAATTGTTAAAATATAATTGATGTGTACTTTCTTTATTTGATTTGGCAGTTGTTTACTACACAGAGACGTTACTACTACTAGATTTCTTGAATATACGTGAATATTCCCAAATTATATATATGTATATATATATATATATATATATATATATATATATATATATATATAATTTGGGTCGTGGGTCGCGGCTTGTCATTAAGGGGTGATGGTGGGTCCCACAGCCAGACCAGTTGAGAACCACTGGTGTAGGCCATATTGGTAACGCTAAAACAGCCAGAAATAAACATTTTGGATATATTTTCCATTTGATAATTTAAAAAATTAATGCTAGCTAATGCTAATGCTGACTCCAACAGCAAGAAACAAGCGTATATGATCACAATCCGTCTTACAGTGGTATTTCTAAAATGAACAGTGGTGAAACAGCCTATATTCTGTCATAACTGATCCATAGTTAAAAGGTTGGGTAACACTTTATAATAAGTACACGCTGTGTAGTTATTATAAAGTGTTACCAAAAGTTGTGTGTTGCCACTTTAAAGAGTACTCCTTCACTCTGCTGCCTGCTATGTATACTGCCTTTGAAAGTGTGTGTGTCTCTTTGCTCACAATATGGAGAGTAACACCCGTTTCATGCTTTTTGCGGTCAGCTCGGTGCGGATGGCGCTAATGTGTAGTAATTCTTACATGCGATCAAATCGGTTCCTAAAACAACCCCTCTTCTCTTCATCTTGCTCTTGCTGTAGTCCAGTCTACTTTTTGAAAAGCGACTCACAGCCGTGATTGAACGCTGCTTTAAACCCTTATCAATCTTAGAGGTGCACAGCTCGAAACTCAGACCCTCCGTGCAATGGCCCAGGCCACAATTGCACGATATCACCATCTGCACCGTGTCTACCATACTGACCACAACAAGCATAAAATAGAGCCAACGCCACTTTCCAGCGTTCCACTTTCCATGAGGACACATTTTTTCTCCCTTAAGTCACAAATCTCAATTGTGACATTGTCAAACATGGTGGTGTCAATTTTGCTGTAGTGGTTATTTCCAAACAAGAAACCCCCAAAAACCGCATTTGAAGTCTTTTTAATCGCTATTGCTGACATCTGCATTTCGAGCATAAGTCACTGTGGTAACAGTTCAAAACTGTTTTTGTGTTTAATTCCAATTAGCAATAGCCATTATCCAATGAACTAAGTTCTAAAACTATGGCCTGACTTTTACCCAAACTTCATTCAACACAGTGTACTGTCTATTAAAAATAATTTGTAAAGTGCTCCCCTTGTAAAATAAATGGCCTACAAAGACACAGAGAACACAAAGAAAGGTTAAAAAACAAAAGAAAAAACTGGTTTGGGGTTGGAGTGAGATACGAGCCACTTAAAAAACCTGTGAGACTGAAAAAATCAAGGAGAGTGTGATTGATGTGGCCACTCTCTGGACTGCACATGTGCTGGTATTACAGTGGCATGTTGTTTGACTGAGGGTTAGTGGGGATCAGAGCAGAAATGACAGCTCCTATCTCACACACACTGACAGACAGACACACACTCACGCTCACCCACTCATGAATACACACACACATGGAGAGAGAGACATCATACAGCAATCAGGTGTCAATTCCAAACTGCCCTGTGACAAGGGGGCCCCAACACTGACCTGCACTCCCCTACCTGTCACTGTGAGCATATGTGTGTGTGGGTGTTTCCATGCGTGTAACACTGGTGAGGTCTCAGCTGGTATCAGCTTTGAACAGTGATTTGGAACTTGAAACTATCTCTTTCCATCTGACTTCTGTCCTTCTCTTTCCCTTATTTTTTGCATCACTTTCTTTTTTTATTTCCATGACCATCACATTGATCTCCATCCCAGTGTTCCATGGACGAAATGGAACTTTGGTCAAGAGATAACAGGTGGTCGTACAGGGAGACGAGACGGTGACACCGGTGTGTCCCTTTAAAGATGTTACCTGGCATCAGATGTGAGGTGACACCTGGTTGATGACTTTGTCCCCATCCCAGTTTTGATCACACCATCTGTTTCAGATGATTATTCCGGTTATTGTCAAGAACAGCTAATATGTGGACTAATTCAAACTACTATTAAAAGGGTAAGCTTTCATGCTCAAATTAGTACTAAGGAAAGTACTGTGAAATACAAATGACCATGAAACTGCCCTCAAGGCTGCTTTGTACATTGTGAGGGAGGTCTGATTCCGAAAGAAAAACTGCCTAATTTGCTTTATGCCATCAACCAGTGAAAGAGTTCTGTTTTTTAACAGAAAAAAACCCTAAACCTGAACAGTTTCTGACATCAGTGGAAAGCTCATCTTAAATGAATCAATCTGTAGGGCGGGACGAGAGAAAGAAGGGGCAACGGGTTTTAAAGGATTTAAGGCTGCCGGCTTTTCCTATTATTATCTAATGTCATTACAGTCAGGACAGCAAGTATCTCATGTATAATGTCTGAGATTCAGTGGCCACTATATCAGGCTCACCAGAGTAATCTAACCCAATTCAACATATCCACTATTACATTGTACATATGATATCGAGATATTTGGTTGTCCTAATTTACAAAAATGAGGGGGGAAGAATATTAGAAACACCTCTAATTATGGAAGGTCCCCCAATAACTCAATGCTAAAAAAGCGCTTTACACTACAAGTCAACATTCACCCATTCATACACGGACACTATGCTAGCTCCTGAAGCTACACTGAATGTCTACACTTGTTGCTTTTGCTTCTTAATGATTGTAACAGTGATTAAAGACCTACCAAGCTTTACAGGAAAACTGTTATTCCTTCATTTCTTCAAACTGTCTTTCTTCTGTCTCGATCACCTGACGATGCGCTGGTTCACTTTTACATTGAGATCTGTAGCTTCTATCTTTATTTCTTCCACCTGATTTCACTGTTGAAATACTTTCACATCCTGAATAAATCCTTCAAGCACATATTGTCAAGCCTTCTGTCTGCTTTTCTCTAAAATGACTTTTTGTTTTTCCCAAATATAAGATACTTAGATTTCCTCAGGTAGTGCTCCATGGTAGCTCTGACAGCTTGTCAGAGTAGCGGGTGGGGCTTAGCTAAGGGTGGATTGCAAGGAAGTAAATTTCCTTTTTCATGTCAAAAAATATCCCACAAATCACTTTTCCGACTTCTGTTATTCAGTTCAGCAGTCTATAACCTATACTCCCTGTCTCTCCTTGTCTGATGCAGTTGCTTGCTTTCTCTCTGTCCATCTCTCTCTTCTACCCTCATAGCTCCCTCCCTCCTCCATCTGCATTGATTGCAGACTGATGAAGAGGAGCTTCACACTCGTTGACACTTTGCAACAATCCGTGACACAAAAGCCGGCCGAGAAGCATGGATAGCGCTCACACACACACACACACACACACACACACACACACACACACACACATATACTCAACCCTCAGGCATTCCCCCTCTTCTGGATGAGGTAATTATTGCGAGGGGAGTCTTTGCATCGATCGCACATTCAGCACCAGAGCTAACCATACATACCTATTGCTCTCCGCATGCATCAGTCAAGGTCTGCACGAGCATAGAAAGACATCGGCTTAATCAATCACAGATGCACATTAAAAAGGGGGATCTAACAGAGCGCACGGCTCAATGAGCCAAATAGGTAATCTACTACTGACCTTGGATAAAATTCCTACAGGCTATAAACTATAAATACAGAATCCATTCCCCGGGGTAAAACTGGGAGTCTAATGCACTTCAGCAAACCCTCTATGAGAGGAATTAACAGAGACTGTGAGCAGTGAGTAAGCACAGGGACCGGGCTTAATGGGAGTGTGATGATGGGGCTCATGTCTTAACACACAGTACAAGTGTGTGTGGGGGGGGGGCGGGGGGGGTTGCGCCACGTCTTTGTCTGTCCATCTCTCTCTCTTCTCATACTGTACCTCCCACTCTCTCAGCTCAGGACTCACTGGAGCCTGTATAAAACTGTGGTGTAGCCGTGTAACCAAATTATTATAACAGTTAGCTCAAACCAAGCAATCTGATTGGTTCAAAGCCGTGATATAATACCAACATACCACTACAATGGAGTCTAATTCCTTTGCACTTTTAGTATAATGTTAGACTAATGTCTTGTCATGGTTGCTTCAGAACAGGGTCATGTGGGGATCACTTCCGCCAACAAGGATCAAGTTACATTTACAACGTATCAAAGTTAGCTGCTAAAACCTGCTACAACATGGACACTTGTGTAGAGGAGTGGATTGAGCGGTTCCTATCTCCAGAAAACAATCCACCTTCTAAACGACATGCAGTCACATGTAAAGACACAATGTTGCCCAGAATATGCAAGCAAGCATGAATATAGGCACACACTAACCACTGCCTCCAGCACTGCCATTCAGAAAGATTCTGATGTGGGACACAAGAGATTATTAGGTTA